TGTCGACCATTTTATATGTTTTTTGGAGGAATTTGTTGGTTTTTTTTTGCGACTGGATTTCTTTTTGTTACATATTTAAAACGATATTATCAGGGATTAACATTTGCTTTATGTTTGCACTTAAATATCAGATAAACATGTTTATTTTCTTTTAGTCTTTCTTTTTTCTCTTTTCTTTTTTTCTTTGTCCAGTACAAAAGTAAAATTGACTTTACGAAAGGGGGATATTAATCACGATTATAAAAAGAAAAAACTCCGAACTCTGTAAAGAAAACAAGATTTAATGGTTACGTTATTTCAAAAGATTCTAAAAATGATTTATTCGGCAAGGCACAAGCAAAAGAATTATGATGAAGGAATAGCTTTTTAAAAAAACATTTTTCATTTAGAAATTCTACATTTTATAACTTACATTTATCCTAATGGATACGCTCATAATCAAACACAATATCAATATTTTCATTTTACATATATATATATATATATATATATATATATATATATATATATATATATATATATATATATATATATATATATATATATATAAAGACTTTGTGTACATGGACTGGAGCTATGTAATGATGATGCTATGCTTCAGTAATGGTCGAAATTATACGTTTAGTTCGATCGGCGAATGCTCCTACCAAGTGTTTGTAACGCGTTTGATGTCGATGTGAAATAATCTATTTTTCTGTCCTTATGACAGAAACGAAACATCAAACGCCAATTACAAATAAGGGCGTAGATATATTTACACCGGACAATCGTTCGATCAAACAGATGGATAAAAAGAAATACTGATATGGCTAAATGATTACTAATCTCGCACCATACATAAGAGAGGGTGTCGGGAAGTTCTCAGCTGACCAACTTCCCAAAATCTCATAAAATATCCAAACATAAAAAATTAATTCTGGAATCTCTGTTTAGTCGGACCGAGAAGTTTCCAGCACACACACACACACACACACACACACGCTCTCACACACACACACACATACATATATATATATATATATATATATACCAACTCTTAACAATATTAACTACGAACTAGGCCACAATGTGCTAACCATTTTCGGAAAATGAAACACCTCTATGACACACCAAAAGCATACGCATAACAAACATACTCAATTAACTGAAAAATAAAATCATCCTTGATAATGGCTAGAAGTATAGCCGAAAGCGCTCGGAACTATAGAACATTTGGACAATTTCTACACACTCTGTTTCCAAAAAAGAAAACTCTTGTCCGAGCACAAGAAAAATTAAATAAAAAGCATAACCGTAGAACATTGCCTGTCGTTTTTAATGATATATATATATATATATATATATATATATATATATATATACACTGAGTGCCAAATTATTATCGAGATAACATTTTTTTATAATATTTCAAAACCGTCCAATCAATTAACACAAAATTTTCACACAATGTTGGCAACACTGACCTGCGCAATCACTGTAATTTTCGACCTTATCTGCATAATGTAAACAAACTGGCGCCATATTTGTTATCAGCACGGTGATTAGATACAATTTATTTAAATAAATGCTCTGTTTTTAACTAAACAGTATTAATCACATTTACGGACCTGAATGTTCTAGAAATTTCGTAGAAAATATGCATTTTCTAACAGGAATCGAACCTGTATTACAGTACAGAAACTGTCATTTGATCTGACGTCCTACTTAGCTACAGAGAAGCGTCTGGTTAGCAAAGTCTAAATTACTGTTTATAAAGACAATCTTCGACGATTTTTTTCGATCGAGCATATCTGCTCACGAAACGTATCTTAACGTAAACAACGACAACATATAATGAAATGAATTAAGTCCAACAATAATTAGATAATTGTCGGACTTAATCCATTTCATTATATGTTGTCGTTGTTTACGTTAAAATACGTTTCGTGAGCAGATATGATCGATTGAGAAAAATCGCCGAAGATTGTGTGTTTAGAAACAGTCATTTGGACTTTGCTAACCTGACACTTCTCTGTAGCTAAATTGTATAGCACGTCAGATCAAATGACGATTTCCCTATAGGAATACAAGTTCGATTCCTGTCAGAGAACGCATTCAAACATTCTGTTCCATGCGTGAACGCAATTTTCAGGTCATGAAGACTACGTTCAGACTGGTGCCACTCGGTTTTAAAATTAGTGTCCCCCTTTATAGTAACACTGCATCACTGATATTGAGCACTTTTACCCATAAATATAGCATACTATAAAATTATATTTTTATCATTAGTAAATCAAGTTAGTAAATTTATGAGGGATTACATCCCTTAATTTTTTTCATAACCTATACAAATAAAATATACCTGCATTTAGAAAAAATTCGTTCCCGTGCAAAATCAACCGTTTAATTAAACACTTCCTTTCCTTCCTTGCAGTATTATTTGTTCAAACCCTTCATGTGAAGTAGTCAGATACCTTTTGTCTTTTATGTGATAGTTTTGCTTCAACGTGTTCTTAAAACTGAATTTGTCGTCGTCGCCGTCTATATCGTTCTGTTGCTAATCTTTTTCTTCCGAGAAATATTTCCATGATATATTAAAAACATATTATTTTTTTAAATGAAAAGAATTGGACAAAAAGAAATGTATAAAATACCGGAAATAATCAATGAAACATAGATATCATGGAAGAACTAAAAGAAAATATAAAGGGAACGGATTAATGAACCGGTGCATTGGCCTCTATTTTAGGGATGAATTTTTTATCTTCCATTTATCTCAAGACATTGATTAAAGACTTTTGTTTCATTGCATCTCAATATTAAATCTTTCTAACAACTGCCGTCATATTTACAGCCCGAGTAGACTATCTCTCTCTATCGCTATCTCTCTCTCTCTCTCTCTCTATATATATATATATAATGAAATGGACAAAGTCCGACTATTATTTTAAGACATTTTTTATGTTTATACGTTCTTTTTATAGATACAAAGATATAAGTAAATGCTCTATTTATAATAAACAATGTTAACAACATTTACCGACCTGAATGTCCGAGAAATTTTTATAGAAAATATGCGTCCTTTGCCAGGAATCGAACCTGTATCCTATACGGAACCGTCATATAGCCTGACGTGCTTTTACCGATTTCGCCACAGAGAAGCGTTTCGGTTAGCTAGGTCGATTTTACTGTTTTTAAACTACAATTCCCCGTGATTTTCTCACGTACATTCATATCTGCTCAATGCGTATCCGAATGTAAACAAATCGTCCGACTTTTTTTTACAGCCCGAGTAGACTAGTATCTATCTATCTCTATCTCTATCGCTCTCTCTCTCTCTCTCTCTCTCTCTCTCTATATATATATATATATATATATATATATATATATATTAAAAATGGACAAAGTCCCACAATTATTTTAAGAAATTTTTTATATTTTATGCGTTCTTTTTATACAAGGTAACCAAAAAAGTTCTGTCCGTTTTTAAAGGAAAAAAAAAGAAAACGCTTCACAGTATGTGTGACTTATATTTAGTCTTGGAAGTAATCGCCATCGGCATCCAGCACCTTCTGCCAACGTGTCTCCAGCTGTTCAATTCCCTTGCGGTAGAACTCGAAGGGTTTTGACGCAAAGAAGTCCGTGAGGGCTTTGCGCAAGTCTGCTTCATTGTTGAAGGATTTCCCACGAAGATGATTATCCAGGGAGGGGAAGAGGTGGTAATCGTATGGCGCAAGGTCAGGTGAATAAGGTAGATGGCACAAAGTCTCCTAGCCAAGTTGCTGTATGGTATCACTGACCACATGCGCGACATGCGGCTTGGCGTTGTCATGGAGGAATAGCACACCTATGCGATTCACCAGTGCTGGCTCCTTCTGGCGCAATGCCTGTTGCACACATTTGCTGCGAGTATAGGTTTCCAGTGACTGTTTGGACCGTTGGTAGCAGTTTATAATGAACCACTTGACGACCTGTCCACCAGACACAAAGCATAATCTTGCGTGGGTGCATAGGCGGTTTGCGGTGTGAGGAACAGCATCCTGAGGAGACAACCAATGTCTGGAACGCTTGGGAGTTTCGTACAGAACCAACTTTTCATCACTGGTAAGCACTCGATTGAATAAGGATGCGGTATGGTGGCTAGAAAGCAACGATACGCAGGCTGCCACTCGTTGTCCCTTGTGGACCTCCAACAGCATTTGCGGAACCTACTTGCTCAGTTTGTACGTTTTACCTAGGCTGTTTCATCGGAAGCGTTGAACTGTCTTGCATGTTCACCACACGTTAGACTACTGTCCTCTTCAATAGTCGCCTTCAGGACTCCGTCATTCAAGACCTGTGGTCGTCCACTGCGAGGCTCATCATGGGGAGACAAATCTCCCGACGTGAATATTCGAAACCAACGCCTTGCACTACGTTCATTCACAGCAGTATCCCCAAACGCTTGACATATTCGGCGACTTGATGCATCTGCTGATAAGCCCACTTTGAAGTCGTAAAGCAAACAGCACCGAACGAGATATCTAGACACTTCCATCCTTCTCACAGCTGTCCGGCTTATAACTGATGGCCGGGCACGGTCCGCGTGTTTTTATAACGTCTGATGTTCCTACTTCCGGCTGTCCGAATTTGAAATCAATTGCCACACGCATTCTGTATATATTCCAACTTCATTCAATGACTAATCAAAAAACAGACAGAACTTTTTTGGTTACCTTAAAGATACAAATAATTAAACAACGCGCTTCTGTGGCCAAATCGGTAAAGGCACGTCAAGCTGAATGACCGTTCCGTATAGGATACAGGTTCGAATCCTGTCGGACTACGAATATTTTCTGTGAAAATTTCTCGGACATTCAGGCCAGTAAATGTTGTTTAATACTGTTTATTGTAAACAGAGCATTTACTTAAATATTTGTATCTATAAAAAGAATGTATAAACATAAAATGTCTTTATATATATATATATATATATATATATATATATATATATATAGTTGGGTGTACATTGGTAGGTAAGTATGGAAGTCATATTTGTATGTGATCTTGACGTATGATCAGCGCCATTAATACAAACAACTTAAGTCTATTTTTGCTCAAATCTCTTTTAGCATCTATGCATTCGCGTGCACAAAACAGTACCATGTCACCTGTCCGATATATAATCCATAGACACACTGTTCTACAAATAATACTCATATGAATTGGCTCTTGTGCCATACTACTGCTTCTCTGTTTCTTTTTATTTTCTTCTAGATTGTCAGCGGTTCTACATTGCCATTTTCTACCTGACACATGCGACATAAGACGGTCTCCGTCTCGTTCGAAATTTGTAATTTAATTTAAATTAAATCTGATTTATTAGCTTGGAAATGAAATTAATGTGTTTCTGTTTTGGGGGGATTTGTTTTGTTGTTTCGTTTTCTTTTGTTTTTCTCTATTTTTTAGGTAATCCTCTTGGAAACCGCCAAATTTATTTCACAACCAACGAAATCATTAATTTCTTTTCTAAACAAATTTATTACTCTTTTGTGCACGTGTACATATTTTGTGCTTTTCATTTTTAACGTTTTGATTGTGTCTTTTCTGCTTCATTCAGTTAATTTTGATTCTTAGCAGAATTTCATTCCTCGTTTTATTTTTAGCTTTCTTTCACTTACACTTTTTCTTTCAGGTCTCTTTCATTTTTACTTTTTCTTTCAGCTTTCTTTCATTTTTACTTTCTCTTTCAAGTTTCTATCACTTTCATTTTTCTTTCAGTTTTCTTTCATTTTTACTTTCTCTTTCAAGTTTCTATCACTTTAATTTTTCTTTCAGTTTTCTTTCATTTTTACTTTCTCTTTCAAGTTGCTTTCACTTTCATTTTTATTTCAGTTTTCTTTCATTTTTACTTTCTCTTTCAAGCTTCTTTCACTTTTTCAGTTTTCTTTCATTTTTACTTTTTCTCCAGCTTTCTTTCACACTTAACAAATTTCTTTCACTTTCACTTTTTCTTTACATTTTCTTTAATTTTCACTTTTTCCTTCAAGTTTCTATCATTTTCATTTTTCTTTCAGTTTTCTTTCATTTTTAATTTCTCTTTCAAGTTTCTTTGACTTTCATTTTTCTTTCAGTTTTCTTTCATTTTTACTTTCTCTTTCAAATTTCTATCACTTTCATTTTTCTTTCAGTTTTCGTTCATTTTTACTTTCTCTTTCAAGTTTCTTTCACTTTTCAGTTTTCTTTCATTTTTACTTTTTCTTTCAGCTTTCTTTCACTCTTAACAAATTTCTTTCACTTTCACTTTTTCTTTACATTTTCTTTTATTTTCACTTTTTCTTTCAAGTTTCTTTCATTTTCCCTTTTTCTTTCCGTTTTCTTACATTTTTAATTTCTCTTTCAATATTCTTTCTCGTTCACTCTTTTTCAACTCTTTCAAATCCACTTTTTCATTCAGCCTTCTTTCACTTACTCTTTTGACGTTCATGTTTTCTTTCACATCATTTTTATTCTTTCAAGCTTTTTTTTTAACTTTCTCTTTCACTTTTTCTTTTAATTTGCGGGCTCTTTCAGTGTTTCTTTAACTTTTCTTTCAAATTCACTTTCATTTCAAGTTCTTTAACTTTCACTTTTTCTTTCAGATTTCTTTCAACTCGTTTTCAAATTGGCTTTTTTTCAATTATTTTTCAAATGCACTTTTTCATTCAACTTTCTTTCACTTACTCATTTTTTTACTTTTTTGACATTCAAATTTTCTATCAATTTTCTTTCGCTGTCACTTTTTCTTTCAGCTTTTTCAACTCGAGCATTCCAATTTTCATTCAACTTTCTTTTACATTAATTTTTCTTTCAAACTTACGTTCACTTTCTCGTTTTCTTGTATGTTTCTTTCACTTTCACTTTTATTTTCAGCTTTCTTTTGCATTGATCTTTTCTTTTATCGTTCTTTCACTTTCACTTCTATTTTCCTTTTACAGTAGGTTCCCGTACAACAACATGAAGCCTGGTCAGTACTCACATTGGTAATTGCTTGGGAATACAAGGTGCTGTAAACTTGTATGTGCGTGTGACGTAATGGATAATGGCTCGTAATTGTTAATCGAGGAGTATAGTTCCAGTTACTGTTGAGTTGGTTATATCCATATACGCAGAGATACCCTTGGAAAAGATATCAATCCACCTCTTCTTCCTCCCAGCTGTGGGTTAATTAGTAAGCCTTGTATCACTAAACCATTATTATTTCCAAAATAAAATTCTTAAAATTAAAAAAATAAATAAACTGCAAAGGGTTGATAAACCGTAGAAAATGAATGAATGAATCAATCAATTTCTTTTATATTCACTTTTTCTTTTGGATTCTTTTTACTCTCACGGTTTCTTCTATGTTTCTTTCACTTTAAGCTTTCACTTTCACTTTTACTTCCAACTCACTTTTACATTCGCTTTCTTTTATTCAGCTTTCTTTCACTTTCAATTCATTGTTACTTTTTATTGTCACGCATGGTTTCTGTCAGTTTTCTTTCGCTATCTCTTTTTCTTTCAGCAATTTTAACTCTTGCATTCCCTTTACCTTTCATCTTTCTTTTACATTCCCTTTTTTTTTGATCGGCTTGCGTTCGCTTTCGCTCTTTCTTCTATGTTTCTTTCATTTTCACTTCTACGTTTTAGCTTTCTTTTCATGTTGATCTTTTCTTTTGCCGTATTTTCGCTTTCATATCTTGTTTCGTCTTTCTTTTATGTTCACTTCGTCTTGTGTTCCCGATCACAATTTCTTCAATCTTTCTTTCACTTTCACTTTTAATTTCTGTTTTCTTCAAACTTTTTCATGCATAATTCTTGCTTCTACCTTTAATCGTCGCTAAATTTTCTTCTCTTTCGTCGTTTATAATAACCTCAACTCTTTTGTTTCATTGCACTTTACTTGCATTTTTATTCATTTAATTTCCATGTGCACTTATTTTTCTGATTTCTATCTATTTGCTTATCTTTTATTTCACCTATTTTCTGTTTCATGTAGTCTTTAACTCTCCTTTCCCTGTTAGCCTGATGTAAATCTCTTCGTATCATCTTTTGCACAATGTTCTTAAACATTAGAATTCTTTTATTTTAATCGTTATACCGAAAGCAATATGAAAGAATATAAGAAAAAGGAAAACATTATTAAGTAATGAGACCAATAAAAAAAAACAAGAATTAAAAAGACGGTAGATAACGATTGATATTGCATTTAAATATTTGAAAATCAAATTTGACAGGAAACCAAGAACCTTAAAGTTCTACAAACAAGAAATGCGAAAGAAGAAAAAGCTAGCATAGAAATTGCGGTTACATCTCGGCATTTCAATTATAAAATGATGTCACCTGGCAGCCAGTGAAGTACTCCACTTAAATTCGTAATGTCTAGATACCATAGATGAAAGTTAATCAGAACAATTATCCTGAAAGTATTTGTAGAAAAGGCACAGGAAGCTACGTTATGAAACTAAGATGCTAGGTCAGAAACAACAATAATGCAGTTTCTACTTTGGATCTTATCAAGGATCTCTAGATATAAAACAGGAGCTCCGGACCATGTGTGGCACCAATACTCCAAGCATAGACAAATGATACCACTATAAATATGTAAAATAGATTCTGGAGAGAAAAATTATCTTTGAGATGTAATCAGAACTTTCTTATTGAAACGTTCAGTAAATTTTATTACGTCATTTACATGCTTAAAGTAAAGTTGGGAATCAAGGAAGTTGGATTTCACGTTATCATCGGGAAATATGACGTTTATTAAAGGGTGAGACATGAGTGTCGAATTCCGGTCTAGGTATTTGTTTTGTTTTAGCACAAAACCTTATTCATCCCACCTGCTTAGGAGTCATAGATGGTCAAACTGGGATATCAATCTTTTGAAGAAAAAAGCCAATTATAAATTTAAGAGCGGTTAGGTGTTATGCTAGCATATTCATCCAATTAAAAACTGATTTGCTATAGCAACAACATCATCAACACTTAGCTTAATGAGGCTGTGATCTTCTCACCTAGACTCCTAATGTATATTTGTATGTAATACAAATGTATCTGTTCTCTCTTCTCGTTCAGTGCAGGAAACCTTTTGTGTTGATATGGACTCGCAATTAAAGATGAGATCAGCAGGAATATCCAATAGGAAAAACATCCAAAATTTCACTCAAAATGGAATTAACTAAAAAAAAATCTTATTTTTATGTTTGTTAGAATCCAAAGAAAACTTTCATTAAAAATCCTAGTACTTGAACAAACTGATACATCACAATGTTATAATGAATAAATACTTCGTACTGGTGAAGCAATAGAAGAAAAGAAAGAAAAAAAAGCTTTAGCAAGACAAAGAAATCCACGGCTGAGTTTCTTGTGTGTTTATTATGCAACCGTTCATGGAAGTATGGCAAAAATAATATAATAACATTAAATCTAATCTTAAAAGACATCTTAAAAGTATATATACGGACATCAGACTAAACTGATGTTTGCCTTGATGCGACTACACATACGCACAAATGAAAGAGGAAGTTAAAATTTCCGTCCTGGGTAAGACGATAAACTACATCCGCATCCTAGGCATGATGATAAAATGCATCCGACAGCAAGGCCTCTTTTCAGAAGGTTTTCAGGAGCTTAGAAACACCTGTTAATTGCTGATACTTCCAGATTCACCCTGAACCGGAATGTTAGCACTTATCCCAGCTATGAACAAATAGTTAAACCCCAAACCCGTCTTCGCCATGGAAAAGACGATAAATTACATCCGGCGTCCTGGGTAAGACGATAAACTACGTCCGACAGCAAGGCCTCTGTTCAGAAGGTTTTGAGGAGCGTGGAGCCACCTCTTAATCGTGTTCCAAGGTCCATCCAGACCCGGGTGGTAGTACCTGTTAAGGTCCCAACTATGGGCAAATAGTTGACCCTCAAAGTGGGGACAAAAACTATGTAGGTGTATAAATAGGTTTTAATACAAACAATTAATGTATTGACGAAAAATTATTACCAGTATATACATTGAAGAAAAAGATATTACCAGCAATACATTTCTGAAGGAAAAGATATTACCAGCAATACATTTTTGATGAAAAAGATATTACCAGCAATACGTTTTGAAACAAAAAAAGATAGTACCAGCAATAAGTTTCTGAAGAAAAAGATATTACCAGCAATAGGTTTTTTGAAGAAAAAGATATTACCAGCAATATACTTTTGAAGAAAAATTTTTACCAGCAATACATTTTTTAATAAAAGAATATTACCAGCGATACAGTTTTTAAGAAGAAAGTTTTTACCAGCAATAGGTTTTTTGAAGAAAAAGATATTACCAGCAACACATTTTTTGAAGAAAAAGAAATTAACAGCAATACTTTTTTGAAGAAAAACATATTACCAGCAATATGTTTTTGAAGAAAAAGATATTACCAGCAATACATTTTTGAAGAAAAAGATATTACCAGCAATACGTTTCTTGTAGAAAAAGATATTGCCAGCAATACACTTCTGAAGGAAAAGGTATTACCAGCAATACGTTTTTGATGAAAAAGATATTAACAGCAATAGGTTTTTGATGAAAATATATATTACCAGCAATACATTTTTGAAGAAAAAGATATTACCAGCAACACGTTTTTGAAGAAAAAGATATTACCAGCAATAAATCTTTGAAGAAAAAGACAATACCAGCAATAAGTTTTTGAAGGTCAAGATATTACCAGCACCACGTTTTTTAAGAAAAAGATATTACCAGCAATACATTTTTGATGAAAAAGATATTAAGAGCAATACGTTTGTGATGAAAATAAATATTACCAGCAATAAATTTTTGAAGAAAAAGTTATTGCCAGCAATACATTTCTGAAGGAAAAGATATTACCAGCAATACATTTTTGATGAAAAAATATTAACAGCAATACGTTTTTGATGAGATTAAATATTACAAGCAATACACTTTTGAAGAAAAAGATATTACAAGCAATACATTTTTCAAGAAAAAGATATTACCAGCAATACATTTTTTAAGACAAAAGTTTTTACCAGCAATACGTTTTTTGAAGAAAAACATATATCCAGCAACACGTTTTTTGAAAAAAAAGATTTTACAAGCAATACATTTTTTTAAGAAAAAGATATTACCAGCAATACATATCTGAAGAAAAAGATATTACCAGCCATAGATTTTTGTAAACATTATATATTACCAGAAATACGTTTTTGAAGAAAAACATATTACCAGCAATACATTTTTGGATAAAAAGATATTACCATCAATACGTTTTTGAAGGAAAAGATATTACCAGAAATACATTTTGGAAAAAATATTATCAGCAATAAAAATCTTGTCGGCATTAAGTAACCCATTGATTTTGATATGCCGTAAACTAAACCAAACCAAACCAACCTAAAATTTGAAACATTTTAATTTACTTTTTTTAAAGACATATATTTTAGCTTCTTTTTCTTCATGCCTTTATCAGTTTTGTCATTAAATATCCCACCTTATGATAATACAAAATCTGCCAAGAAAGGTTAAATATGATAAGAACCTGGCCGTAAATTTACTGTGGATGGTCTAACTATTAAAGCACTTTCTATATATTTTCCTCTTAGTAAATTATTTTCTCTTTAGAGTACCATATGTCTCTTAACTGACTGAGTACTTTTTTTAAGCGTTTCACTCCAAGCAAGGCGGGAAGCCACTAAGACGCAAGGGGTTACAGAAAATTTGGAGCAAGATCAGATAGGAGTGATAGAAGAAAGGATGAGGATAGTGGATAGATCAAGGCAACTGGAGATGTCGATTGACATTACATTTGAATAGCTGGAGATTATAGCTCTCAGGGAAACTGGAACAGGGAAGGGAGTTCCACAGGCGAGAGGTGCGGGACATGAAGCTATTAGAGTAGAAGAGACGTCTACATTTAGGAGTTTCGACAATGAAAGGTTGAGAGCGGGATGCCAGCCTCGGAGGGTGCGTGAACTCATGACGACTGGGAACCAGCGAATGCAGCTCCTCGGAGCAATTGCTATGAAAGTATTTGTAGAACAGACAGAGAGAGGCGACGGCGTGTCTGTGAGAAAGTGTTTGTAGACGAGATGCCAGAGCAGGGCCAGTTATATTGCATATCCGCCTCTGGAGCCTATCAAGAACCCCGAGGCAAACAGAAGGGGCTCCAGACCATATATGGCAGCAATACTCCATGCAAAGGCGAATTGTTGATTTGTAGATCTGAAGGATCGATTCCGGGGAGAAAAATTTCCTGGCGCGGCACAGGGAGCCAACTTTCCTTGCGGTGGACGAAGCAATTGACTCAATATATTTGTTCCATCTCAGGTCAGCAGTCAACGTGAGACCGAGCAGCCGCAGAGAGGTGCTCTCGAGAAGTTGAGCGTCAGACATTCTAATAGAGGGCAGGGAAGGATCTCAGACTTGAAAAGGAACGTATGAAGAGTCAGGTGAAAATATTTAAAGACTGAATAAAGATGCTCTGAATCTTACCTTTTTTTATAATAATTCTCACCCTGTATGAGGTATAAGAGCCACTCGAGGTAGAGTTTTATATATGAATAAAGATTCTGATAAAAAGGTCTGAAACTTTTGCATCAGCCTCATAGAATGCCTAATTTAATTAAAAGGTAGTGGAAGAACCTGTAAAACGCAAGAAAATAGTTT